TTGCTATACAGAATCTATTGTTGTTCTTGCAATCTCGTGAATTTTCATACTCTTCATGTTTACTTCAATGTTAAATTCAATTAAAGGTGAGAGTGATGTGATTTGAACTGGTGTTATTGATGAAAAGTCATGGAACTGGAACATTGTGACTGTTATGGAATTCAATATGAAAAAATTCATGTTTTTTCTGAGTCAGGACATTACATATCCATGTGACACACGTCTGCCATTCTTTTTAATTTCGACAAATATTCAATATAAGTCCTCTGTGAAGACGTTCACCGCGAATGAAATCACATCCTGTTACTCGTCAATCTACTGCAATTGTAATGAATTATGTCAGTTGCATGGTATGTCTCGGCAGCAACTTTTTTTATTTAGACGACACCCTATATATTTCTTCAGTCTATCTCATTTGCTTTGAAATTATCTTCTAAAAATCTATCACAAAGTGAGAACGAAGCTCTGAAAATCCGGTTTTTCTAACAATTCCAGTGATTTGATCTTGCAAACGATTCTGTAGCAACATGACATGTTGATGACAACCTCTCCTACACGCTTTGATCGCCAGAAAACTTCTCAATCGGTTTCCTGCTTCGAAATTTTCTTGCTCGTCAAAACAAGTTTTTTTTTTCATTACTTGATGTCATAATTGTTGTTTGAGGACCACCCTGTATATAAGAATAGGTTGATCATGCATCATTTCAAGATTTTTGACCACCGTTCGAACCAGATTGACAGGAACACAAAGCCAATAGGAATTAGAGCATATATACTTTCACAGTATCAAGAAAACATATGAAGCAATGTTTTTGATTAAAAAAAAAAAATTGAAAAATTTGTCTTTCAAACGGGAGTCGCTTGAAATTTTTGGAAAAATGTACAGCTTTGATTATCATCTCGTAGAATCTCATCCGGAAAAGATGAAATAATCATATTCATAGGTTCGATAGACAATGAAACGAGCTTTCAGAAACTGGAAAATAATTGAAAATCGGTTGAGGCAATCGAAAGTTATGATGATTCAAATTTGATCAAAAAAACGCGATTTTACGTTTCATGTGTTGAGCAGTTTATAATATGTTTGTTTGTTGTGTCGAAAATTATTAAGTTAGTATTAAACTGACAATTCATTTGAAATTTTCGAACAAATCATTTGTTTGTTGCTAAATTACATCAGTTTGGCCATATTGAAAAGCATAATTTGTTAACATTGAAGAAAATATCTTTATTGCTAACAAACTGTTCTCTCAGTATCAGTTTCAGAAACCTATCCACGAACGACCCTGTATGCGGTAGATGCAACAAATACACCATCAAGAAAAATCCGCGCCAGTAATAAATACACGGAACTCAATTTTCTGTGAGTAGGGCCGTATAGAGGGATGAAAAGGGATGGAAAGGGATGGAAAGTTGGGAGGGTTGAAGAGGGTGAAAAGGTGATGTATCGCTCGAGCTGAACTTCTAAGTCCCTCAGGCATTGTTGCCAAGTCGAAGGGAAAGTCCCTTTCCGTATACCGGGTAGCAACGAGAAAAATTTACCACCCCCTGTAGCTCTCGAGTCGGTCCAGCTGAAATCCCGAAATTTCGACAACCAGATAGGAAAACCCTGTATTTTTTCATATCAACGATTTGTTGGAAGCAACTTCATGTCCAGTACACAGCTTCGCGGATGATAGTACCCAGCGAGCACAAACATCCCTGGGATGTTTTGGGATGTTTTGAAAATGTTGGCATGAAGATGTTATTTTGAGACGTAATATGCACTGACCAAAGAGGTCTTTGAAGGATATTGAAGTATTGTTTTTGTTCTTCTGTGGCATTTCTTTGTTTGCCTACTGAGAGGTATCCCTGGGATGTTTTGGGATGTTTAAGAAATGTAGGCATGAGGATGTTTTTTTGAGGCGTAATATGCACTTCCCAAAGAGGTCTTAGAAGGATATTGAAAGTATTGTTTTTGTTCTTTTGTGCACTTTCTTTGTTTGCCCCACCACAACGTCTCATGCTTACGTCACAATACGATGAATTCTGATTTGTTTTCGATTTTGTTCTTCTTGTTCGCAATTGGCATTCGCGTTTGCAGCGTGTCAAGCTTACATCACGCTGCTAACGAACAGAAAGGAATTTGGTGAAGTTTATTGTGTTAGAAGACTTATTTAGTTTGTAATAATGACCATCAGATGCAAGATGTGTTGTTCGGTGCCTCAGTGTAATCAATACATAAAAGTACGAATTCATCAATACACAGCTTCTCCGCAGTTGCAAAATTATGCATTGTGGAGAACATTTCAAAAATTGGGAAACCTATTTCCAATTATATGTCTGTGTGTAGTAAGCACTACTCAGAAACCGATTAAGGAGGTAATTTCATATCAAGAAAATTTTTTATGTTCAATCTATTTTTAATGCATTTTTTCATTCAAGGGAAATGGAATCCTAATGCAAAAGTTCATTTTGACAAAAGGCTTCAGATAAGTACCTCGAAAATGGTTTTTTTACAGCGATTTAATGTGCGCAAGACGCGTTGAAAATGTTCTGTTGTGTCCATGAAAAGGCTTTAAAAAGAACTAGGGAGAAGGTAGTTTTGTGACATATGAAGGGCAACTCGATAATTGTCGCCTGCGGCGGACATTGGCTGTTCTATAATAGTTCTATTCATGTGTGAACAGAACATCGCAGTGGAGGTTCAATATCTCGAAATCTCGTACTTTTAACATCTCTGAGATGTTTTTGTGCTCGCTGGGTACCCTCCATATCGCCTTCTCTTCCAGGGTTCCAATACCAGCCAGGCAAATAAGAAACGAACGAGGGAGAAATGTTGACAACATGAATATGGACTTGGCAACAATTCTCGAATGGGGATCCAATAACTTGGTAGATTTGAATGCAAACAAAACAGAAGCATTCCTTTTCTCTAGGACAGCCGATCTCACTGTGCCCAAAATAAGCTTGTCAGGAGTAACCATACCTTTGAAGACATCCATTTCGATGCTTGGTATTACTATAAGCAATAACCTTTCTTGAGAAAATCACGTGAGATCAATTGCTAAAAGTGCATCTCAAAAACTTGGTTTTCTGTTTCGGGCCAGGAGCTATTTCACTTCCAGCCAGCTGCTTATGATCTATAAGGCACAGATATATGATTCTTTCAGATTTACTTCCTACTATAAATCAGAGTAAATATAGCTCTAGAAAAATGACAAACATCCACTATAATGAAATTACTTTAAAAATTTAGTGAAGATTATATTTTATATTTTTCACTACTATGATGGACTATGAATATAGTTTCCATTACAAAATAAATTGAACTAAAATATCATAGTAAAATGTGCCTCTCTATTTTTTTCTGTGAAGACGAATGCAGTTTCTGTGAGGAAGAGAACCAACTTGCTATAGCTACGTAGAACAACCTCATCAAAATAAAAGGACACAATAGATCTTTTAAGTCTATGTATTCGCCCCGTATACATACAATATACAATACTGGAATGAAATGATTCCAAAAGAACTCTGAACAAATACGGAATCAGTACGTCATTTTGATACATGAACATTGTATTCGAGGTAGATGAACCGTTTTAGAACCTTCGGATTTTTTTTCAGGACACTACTTTACAAAATTCAGAAAACAATCTGCTCCAGATGAAATGTCAGAGCTAGTGCATAATTGGTAACATTTATTAGGATTAACATGCTGTTTTAGTAATGTCAGATATCATTCCCACTAGGTATACCTATTGAGGAATTGCTTGGCAACAGCGCCTATGAAGTTTTGGGAGTCGAGTTCGGGTTAGGCACCATCTGGTGAGGCTTGAAACCACTTTCACATTACAATCCTTATCAGCTCCCAGCTCCCAGCTAAAGTTTTCACGTTTTGCAGGAAAGATATGTCAACTGAAAGCAGCTGAACGACATTTTTGGAACTCTCTCACCTCCCAGTTTTCTCGAGAGTTTTCTTCAACCCTAATAATTCAACAAACTTGACAAAATATGTCCATTGACTTGAAAATATACTTGATATTGAGTGTATTTATCTGATGAAGATTTATACATTCAAGCATTCATTGATTCTTTTTGATGAAAAATCGTGTATGTATGTACAGGGTGTTTCTTAAGTACGTGTAGAAAATTCAGGAGCATGTTGCTGACGTCAAAATAAGAAGAAAAGTTCGTATAAATATATGTCCAGAAGTTATTCGTTTCTGAGATACAGAGTGTCAAAGTTGAATTCTTGTTTTTGTTCTTTGTTAATAAATTTCGAAATAATTGTGATATTGGAATAAAATTTGGTATCTAAAGGCAGTTCAAATAAATACTTAGGAAGATTTAGTATAAACAACATGTAGATTTGGCAACGTTGTAAATGGTATTTTTAGATCAGACTTGCTGAAAACTTCCTTATAAATTAATTTTTATTGTCATATCGCCACGATTTCTCGAAATATTGAAATTTTGTGATATTTTTGACGAAATGTTCATTTGTCATATCAACAAAAATAAAGGGAATACAAATTTGATATTATAGGGTCATAGTAGTTTTGAGACGACAAATCGAATGCGTTAAAAATAAACATAGCATTACATTTAAAAAAATAAAGTTAAGGGCTCTATGGGAAAAACTGTAAAACTGGCAACGTTGCAAATATTATTTTTAGATCCGGCACAACTGATTACCCCCGTATACCAAATTTCATAATTTTATGTCAAGCCGTTGCTGAAATATTCGGCCGTTCCGGTTCTTTTGGGAAACCCTGTATATAAAAATATGTCAAAAGTAAACCTAAGTATTTACATGAATATATCACATGTGTTTAATATTAATTCATTCAAAATATTCAATACAGTTATGGATTACATACCTCATTTCATTGTAGATATCCTGCTGTATATTATTTCCAATATATTTGAAGTTTTAGAATGTATAATATAGGTTTGTTTTGAATTTTATTCAAATCGTTTCAGTACATAAATCATGAAAAAAAAACTGACTTTATTTGCCCCTATATTAAATCCCCTAAATTCTAAAATTTAATGAAACACGAAAAAAACAAACAGCTTATATTCTTAATTTACTTCGGGCAACTTTCAAACCATTGTTTTCCAACTGATGATATTTCCTAAAAGATTTCGCCTTATATTTTGCTTTAACAATGCCATTCTTATTTTTCACAATTGCATTGCTCCAGAATTTCCTCAATTTATTTCCAATTAAAAGTTCGTCTGGATTCTGACTGACTGAACGATTGAAAACTTCTCTTCTCACTACTTTTCCGACATTTCCTTGAAAAATTGATGAAGCTGAAGCAGTACCTGTCCTGCATATTGACATATCAAGCTTCGGATCAAGAATCATTCTTAGAAGCTCTTCTTTTCGTTTTTTCGTGGCTACTTGGATGGAAACTCTCAAAATTGGATCCGCCAAACATATAGCTGTCCAAATTTTGGACGTTTCGAATGCTGTCAAGAGATCTTCATTGTCCAGTAACCTTAAAAATATAAAATAAATATTAATTTCAATATAATGACAATTTTTTATGAATGCTGATGCCAAATTGTCTAAGTGGTGAAAATATATTTACCTCAGAATTTTACTCCAAATTTCCCCAGGTAGATGTGGCAAACTGAAACTGTTAACACCAAGAGTATACGAAAACATATTGACAATTGAGTGATTTAATTTCATTTACACTGTCATTTATACCATTGACCTTACCTCAAATTTGGATAATCCTTTTTCTCCGATTGCTCAACCGTGGTTTTGGTAATCCCTATTATAATACCCAATTAACTTTCTACAGGTATTAGGTAGACAACAAAAATATCAAGAATGGCAGGGGCTGAATACTCCCATGATCATTATACAGGGTGGTTAACTAGTTTGTCAGAGTTTGGTAGTTAGGGTCCTATCCTATATGGTAGCTAAAAACATGAATGAATAGTTATTTATTACACAAGGGAAAAAAGTTGTAGATTTTAGCTCCAGGTTGTGTTGTCTCCCGACGCGTAGCTGAGGGAGACAAAAAACCGTGAGCTAAAATCTAATATTTTTCCCGTGTATAATGCACTATTTTTTTCTGTGACAAAAGAAAGACGAATCAATATTGAGAAAATATTACATTATTTTGAAATCTGAAAATAATCGACTTGAAATTTCAAGTTTTTAACAGTAGGGACACCTGCGTTGTAGGCATCTTTATCATTACTTTGAAGTAATCAAATATCTGATGTCACTTCTGTCAGTCTAATTCTGTGATTTGACTTCAAAAAATTACAATATAGTGGTTGTTTAGTAATATACGTAATCGCGAAGTCGAATGGAAAATAAAAGGACTTGCAGTTCTTTCTCGGAGACGGTATTATTGACTCATTTTTCGGAATTATAGCACAACAAAAGCCATCAACAGTGTATATATATGTACAGTATGATGCAAATGTATGGAATAAATTCATTATTTCAGAAATGGGCGACATTTGAAAAAATTCCAAAAACACGTGAGGTTTCATTTTTGAAGCCTCATCTCATGATATCCATATGAGAGATGTTACGTCACCGGTGTTGGAGTAATGACGTAATGAACGATATTTTCAAATGAAAACAGGGGTCACGTGACACCTCGTTTGAAAGGTCTACTGATCGTCTATTCAACGGTCAAAATTTTGCATGAGAAAATTGAAATTAAAATGGATTATCATTTGATTTACTGAATCTTGCAGAGGTCTGCTACTGAGAATTGAACAACGAAGGGTAGTCTATTTAAAAAAAGAAATCAATTAATAAAGTTCTGAAGTCTAGTTTTTCGATTTTTTTCGGAAGTCGTCTTGTTTTGAAATGAATTTATTCCATACATTTGCATCATACTGTATGTGATATATATTCGGGAAAAAAGTACTCACTTTTTTCCAGACGGGAAAAAATAGACAACAAGGCCTATGACGAGAGATTATTGGCACATATACAGGGCGCACCAAGAAATTTCTAGAGAGCCGAGGACCATTTTCTTAAAATGGAATACCATGTATATACGTATAATTCTTCATGAATTTCAGTGACCTGCAACCACCCATCGAATAATATTGAAAGTTATGGTATGAAAAGGAATATTCTCAGAAATAATTATTATGAACATGAAAAAATGGATATATATAGGTATATATATAAATACATTGAGAATTCGCATTGTCTATGTGATGAAAATATCAATTCTTTCTCGGTTTATTCGATAGAAAACAACTACTTTCCTGGCTATATGCCACGACAAACATTGAATTATATCTATTGAACATTGAATTTGCATTCTATACAGAAAACATCTACTTTTCTTGCTATTTGCCACGTCGAACATTGAATTAATTATATCTGTTGAACATCCAAAAGAAGAGCTTGAAAAATAAAAACACGCAGTATATAAGCATTTGTACTATGACTGAGTGAATCTCAAAAAATATATTACGAAGTTTTCAAACCAATTTCATTTTATATACCGAAATGTACATACTTTTTTTCAACCTCAAATAACATTGTTCTTGTATTTTTGCCCCCAACAATCCATGATTGATGTTGATGGTGCATTTTTTATATATATATTTCAATATGAACGTTTCAAGAAAAAAATATCACCTTTATTTTATTTGGAGTCAAAGTATATAACTAGTAGATAAATTTCAGCAAAATGATATTTTCATCACCAGTTCAGAAATATTTTACATTATGTAACGCTAAGAGAGACATTTCAAAACTTCAGTCAGTGTTGAAAAATGCCACATCATAATTATGACAAAATTTGAAATCAGTATATTGTTTAACGAGCACGGAATGATAGCCATTTTCCACGAGAATGCTGCAAATTATACGAGTAGGGAATTAGCATTTCGTACGAGTTGTACACTATACTTTTTCTACGGCTGTAACAGATAACAGCTCATCTATTAGAGAGAGCTGTCATTACTTGAAATATGACATTTCATGGGAGATTATGAGATTTCCTAAAATAATAACACAATGAAGTCAATGACATACAAAGTACCTCATCTATTTATCGAACACAGTAAAACAAGAGCAATTTTGTGTTATCATAGCCGAAGAGGAATAATTATGTATCATGTAGATGTGTATGTCAAAACAAAAACAAAAAATTCCAACTACTATAAGTATAGGTAATCTTTTTTCAAATACATACCTACTAAGTCATAAGTTTTACCTATAAACCTTTAAATTCATCAAATTGAAAAATAATTACCACCCATGATTTAGCATTATCGTTCTTGGGATAATATCTCTTTATTTTTTTCAAAAGATTAAAAAATCATCATTTCGCCAAAATACCTACCTGTTGAGTATTCTTAACAGTCCACTAATCCTACTCCCCCTGTACACCTAACTCTTTGAATGAAATTCCATAAGATCAGGTCAATATAAATAATATCGATGGGCACTGAAAAATCAGTTGTTGCAGTGTCAAAAAACAAGAAAGGTCTAATTATTGAAACCCTTATATTTACTAAACTTGAAACAAGTGACATCGAAATGAATTTGCCAGAATTGCCTATGGAAATATGGATAAAAATTTTAAGGTTAGTATAAGTGTAGAAATTTTTTTCTTAATCTTCGTAATTCATTATACCATATAGTATATATTGTTCACTCTTATTTTGTATAATTTGCTTCTTCATCGCCATCTGAAGCAATCTTGTCATGTCAAACATTTTCAATTTCAAACTCCAAACTATTTCCTTTCGTTTCATCAAGCAGTAACTGACATCAGGTGACGCGAACAAATCTGAAATTACCCCCAGTATATCAAGAACATAGAAAGAGTACCTAGACGGAGTTTCATAAGTTTTCCAATTGATTTTACAAATTCTGCTATTTGTATTTCGAATGGGTTAATTTCAAACAAAAATACAAATTCCTTGAACTACCCTTAACTGAGTGCTTTGAGTCCAGGGCATCTGATCTCCGAAATGAACCGACTCTCACAGGGGAAGATCCAAATTTTCATGCATCAATAATTTTGAGACGTGATAGAAATTCGATATGCCAAAAACCATATGCACCCTCTGTATATGATTTTTTTAAACATTTTTTAAGATTATGTCGAAACTACTGGCAACATTGTGATGAAATTTTGTATGGATATTTCTTGGAATCTGACACATCGCATGCATTTGTTTTTATACCTGACTCTCATAGAGGGCGCTAGTTACACGGTTCGTACCGAGTAGTTTTGAACATAACTTTTTAGAGGTTAGATTTTTCAATCCAAATTTGATGTGAACTTGAACATCATTCAATTCCACACCAAAAAGGTACTCTTGGTAAAACTCGATACTGTGTTCCGTTTTCGGAATATTTCGATTTGAAAATGATGAAGTAATATCTGTTGCTGGTATAAAGTTATGTATTAGAGCGAGTATTATGAAAAATTATCGCCTATTTATTGAAAACCGGAAACAACCATACATTCCTGATGCTAAACTTATTGATTTAACAATGAATCACAAGAATAACATCGAAACAGATTTGACTAAGAACATGGATTACACAGTTTTGTTGTATCTTGAGCAGAAAGTCTAAGCTACATAGGTAAATTCACGTCAAGAGTTGTAAAACATGATTGAACATCACTTAAATGTCCTAACAGCTGATCCTCAACTGTTTAGAAAAATAATACATTCTTCAGAAAAGAATATAGAATCGTGTATTCGTCGAAACGAAGGACATTTCAAACACTTACTCTAACTGATTCAATATTTCATGTTTCTATAGTCAAATACCTGACAGTATAATGATTTTATTGTTTTTGAATCTAAATAAATAGGTTGAGCTCAATAAAATTCATTTTATACCAGCATCATTACTACTCCATTATTTTCAAATCGAAATATTCCGAAATCGGAACATAGTATCGAGTTTCACCAAGAGTTCCTTTTTGGTGTAAAATTGAATGAGGTTCAAGTCCATATCATATTTGGATTGAAAAATCTAACCTCGAAAAAGTTATGTGCTAAACTACTCGGTACGAACCGTGTAACTAGCGCCCTCTATGAGAGTCAGATATAAAAACCAATTCATGCGATGTGTCAGATTTCAAGAAACATCCGTACAAAATTTCATCACAATGTTGCCAGTAGTTTCGACATAATCTTAAAAAATGTGTAGATAAATCATTTTTTCAACACCTTGTATCATGAAAACGGATGCCGTTACGACATTTTTTCACTGAGCAAACCCAACTTATTTGCAGTGTTCTACCTACCCTAGCAAGGGGGTCAGGTTTTTTTGAAACACCCTGTATGTTGCTGCAAGGTTGTAGCAACCACTGAAACTGACTTTCAGCGATATGGCAAATGTAAATTTTGTAAATGTAACGTTCCAGCAATGTCACAGCAACTTGTAATATTGCTGAACGTCCGTTTGCTTATTGGAGGGACATCCGTATGAAGAATAACTCTACACGAAATAATTTCAACAAAGGTTTTTTCAATTTCTTTTTCTTCCTCGACAGAATGCTGGACTACAGATCATTGAAAAATGCGACAGATGTAAACCCAAAATGGTTGATTCCCTGCAGATATGATCAAATTCTGAAGAGGAACCTGAAGGCTGATCTCAATAAGGAAACCTTGAAAATAGAACATGATAGAATGGAATTCAAC